GTCAGCAAATCTGACGAATCAATTATAAACGGGCGCGCGCGAGGAAGGGGTGCAAAGGGGGTAAATCGACAGTTGCAACACGTCGATCGGAATCACCCCATGCGACAGAGAATCCTCCCTCTATTCGTCGGCATTAAAACAATGCGAACCGAAACTGGTTTCCCGAATCCACGAAATTCACCCCGATTTTACAAGGGTAGGGATTAACCCCCCCGGACGCGATGAAGTCGTGAGGCGCGTAAATCGCCTCCACCCTGCCCGAAAATTACCGCGTATAACGCGAAAATTTGTAAAAAATTCTCGCCGGAAAGAAAAACAACCCCTTCCAAATAAGGGTAGTTAACCGACTTTAATGCCCGGTTGCACCAATATATCCTAGGTTATATTTTATCTAAGTCTGACTTAAATGTGTGATCTACTTAAGATTGGAATGTGTTGCACCATGTTCAAAAAAGGCTATTTTACCTACGATCCATTTTAACTTAGATAACAACTGGCAACGTAGTAATATTGTTGAAAAATTTTATAAAAGAAGGAGATAATTGTCATTTTAAGTGTCAAAATAACCTATTAGTTGTAGAGGCCAGTGAAAAAAGATCAAAAGAAGAAGAAGTTGTGGTTTTAACATATCCTGTAACCTAGAAATTAGTACATTCATAATTAACTTTTGGTTAAATTTAAATAATTGTAGGGACGTTCTTTTTTGCAGACGAAACCTTTTAAAAAATTCTTCCTCTAAGAATGTTTCAAAATAATTAGTTCTTATTCGAATTTGTCGTTGCATAAGAACATCTACTACATTAATTTCTTCCTCTACATCATCTATTATATCTACATTAACCACAATATTTATATCTGCATTTATATCCATAATTTTACAACTGTCCCGACAATTCTCAAATTTTTGAGGTTAAAATTTTCGTCTTAAGTCGTAGAAATCGACAACCTAGGATCTGCGACCGATTCGTATCACAGGAAAGAGATTTTTAGTTGGTGCAACAGTATAAAATTGATTTTATACTTAGCTAGGTTTGACTTGGGATAGGAATTCATTCTAGGATGCTTGCTGCTGCAACTGGGCATAAATCACTTTGTTATTAATTCGTTAGTATATTTCGAATAAATTTAGTACCAATTGGAATATAATAAATAATAATTCTAGATGTAGATGAGAATCCAAACCCCCCCTTAACACCCTTATCCAGCACCCTGTCGGATTGTTTGCAGCGATTTGACGCAATGAAAAAAAACAACCTTCTCGAACGCGCAGATGAAGGAGCTCTCCTTGTACACGTACTTATTTTAAAAGCGCGGAAATTATTCATGGGTACGCTAAACTGATGCGAGGGGGCGGCGGGAGCGCACCCTTTTTAAAAGCTTCTTCGGGGTGTCACTGTTACGGTGTATCGCTCTCGCCAATTACCGTTAACACGGCCCCGGCTAATGGGTTAGACGCGCGTTTTTTAATGCGATTTACGAAGGAAAAGCGAGGAAAAGCGAGGAACAGCGAGGAAAAGACTACGGCGCGTATGCGGGGGGAAATGGAACGCGGGGGGCGACTCGGGGATGAGAGAATTAATATTTCAACGGTATCGAAACGTTACCGTTGTAAGGTGTATTAAGGAGGTTATTAAATTTAATTGTTATAGAGGCGATAATGGTATGGATATTGAGGGGGCTCCATCGGGGGAGAAATTGAAGTCTTCGATTGTTGTAATGTACATAATTTGGAAATAAAAAGGAAATTATGATAAAATTTATAATGAAATTTGTGAAGTAAATGTATGAAATTTGTTATTTTGTATCCCTACGATGGCGTTTTATACAGGGTATTAATTAATTGAGTGCCAATACTTCAGGATGTGAATATTTGGGTGATTTTAAGAAGAAAAGTTTATATCAATGTATGTCCTAAACCTCTTAGTTTTCGAGTTACAGGGTGTTACAATTTTAGAAAAAAAATAACTTTCTATCATAATTTTCATATTACCCTAGATATTTTTATGAAATTTTGTACACACTTTTAAATTAGTAAGGAGCATTTTTGAGGCAAATGATTTTTTTTTAATTTAAGTTCATTGAGACTGCTTTTAATATTTTATTGAAATTTGATGGTAGGCGCCCAGCAAGCATGGAACAAAAATTGGGACAAAAATAAATTTTCTAATATCACCAGTGACGTCCACGTCCGAAATTACATAAAAATATCCTGAGTAATAAGAAAATTATGATAGAAAAGTTATTTTTTTCTAAAACTGTAACACCCTTTAGCTCGAAAACTAAGAGGTTTAGGTCATATATTGACATAAACTTTTCTTCTTAAAATCAGTCAATTATCCATATCCTGAAGTATCGCCACTCAAATAATTAACACCCTATATATTTGAACCACCCTGTATAAAATTTATCAATTTGGCTCATTTATTTAGCGTCTACGTCCCGCCATGTAGGATGACGCGACATTAGATCAGGCTGTACCCCGACCGGCTACTTCCCTTTTCCGCATACACAACGGACCTCACCCTTCATTTTTGCGCGATTTAGGGAAACGTCCCTTTTACCCCCTTTCGCCCTTTCGCATATCGGGCGAGACGAGACGATGCAACTTGCAACCGGTTCGGCTTTATTCTTCCATTCGGAATTGATGGCTTTCGGGATATATATGGCTGGAATAAAGGAGGCTCCATCCCGATCATCCAGAATCATCGTGGAGATGAAAAGGGGAATTACTGGTGTATGTTTTTTTTGTTGGGATTGAATTGCGAATTATTTCGAGTTTAATGGAAGATCCAATAATAATCTATTCTGGGAATTTATTAATTTATTTAGCGTAATTCGATATTGCTGGGTGGAAAAGTATTGCGTATGAAGGAATATTTCTGGTCCAAAACAAATATCGCAAACGTTTTGGTGTAATCTAAAACCGTTTTGCAAACAGGCCGGTTTTTATCCCACGGACTGTCCCTCGTATATGAGGAAGAGTGGCCTTCGATCTTGTCTGTATCTAGTTACATATCGGATTTTCCGATTTAGATTCTGTAATTAGGGAAACATTTGGTATATTGCTCACAATTAGGTATTTCTGTAGAATAAATCACCCCTTTATTGTTCCTACTTCTTTGATTTTTTATTTATATTTGGATTAATACTCGTTTTTAAAGAAATTTGTTGTATATTTAATAAGATGAAAATTTATAAAAATATAATGAAAAATCAGAAGTGGGATTTTAGCCATATGTCGTTTAGTTATTTTGGCAAGCACCCCCGTACAACACCTGTACAGGAAATGAAATGGCATTGGATATTGATTTGGCATTATTGCCATTAAAAGTCATTTAAAAAACACCATTAATATTGCGAATCGCGAAACTCCGAAAGCCAGTAATTGCGTTTCGCTTTCATCGTCTACCGTGAAAATCGAAAATATCAATTTTTGAAAAATGGTCTCCGCTGCCCACTCGAAGGTACAATGAACCTATAATAGTTTCTAGGAAACGACCCTTAGTTTTTTTTCTCTCTTTTTTCGAAACGAGAACAGAAGTTTTTTTTTACCGAATGATAGTTCTCGAATTTCGCAATTATTTTTACCTGAAAGGTCGATCAACCCGGTAGAGGAATCGTTCGAGATGAATTTGAATAGTTTCGAATGAACCAATAGCCCGGGAAAATTCACCAAAATTCATCAACCCAAATCAGAAGTGGGATCGCACAAAAATCAGAAGTGGGATCTCACAAAAATCAGAAGCGGGATAACATTCGCTACATACAAAACGAAAACTCATGAGCTTACATTCGTATGTTATATGTTAGTGTGGTTGATGCAGAAGTTTCTTGGACTATAGGGGTACCCAAAAAGCGAAAGGCATCTGACCTTGTACCCACTGGCACGTTATCCCGGCCTGGCCGGTTCGGATTCGAAGAATTAGTGGAATCATTTTTCACTTTCAGCCTGGGCGTCGGGTGCGCGTCGTGGGCGCCCCCACGCCCCAACCCCCCAGACCTGCGCCCCTTCGAGAACCCGAAATTTGCACGTCCTCGTTGCGTGAAATCCGACCATTGTTGCGAGACGGTCACAAAGAGGCCGATATTAAATTATTTTTTTTCTTATTTTTTTTTTCTCTTCTCCCGGTAGATTTACCTATGCGTAGGCGCCTTTTTTCCGAAATTTTTTCCGCATTTTTGCAGTGCACATGTCGGGTGCACTCTCGGGGGTTTCTTTTATTTGTCGAGGGTGGATTATTTTTTTTGTTCGATTAGTGGTTGAAAGTTGAAGGACTTCCGCATTTTTACCGCTTTGTTTGCGTTTGTAAATTCGATATTTTACATTTGCAATGCGGGATTCCGGGAAAACGAGGTTCCTAAAAAAATCAGAAGTGGGATGAAGCGAAATCAGAAGTGGGATGAAGCGAAATCAGAAGTGGGATTTTGTCTTTCTGATGCGTTTTACTAGCTTTTAACGCGTTCGAAAGCGTAATTATCGAATTTGAGGATTAACGTTTGACCGGCCGACAGTTGTGTGTTTTTATCGCAGGGCCCCTTATACAGAAAATTGCGACAGCATCTGTCGATCCGCTAATACACGTAACCGATAGTTTTCTTGCGCCCGTCAGAAACTGGATCCCTCGGTAGAATAGTCGAGGCGACTTATTCCTTCTAATAGCAGACATTCAAATAAATGACTATTATTTAGCCGGGCGGGAGAAAGAAATGCCCGATAAAATTACGACCGGAACTAGGAGGTACTTCCACGTATTCTCTTTTAATTTCGATTTTTATTTTTTCCTTTTCACCGAAAAGACCTCTCGATTTCGTTTTCGAACGTTGTTTAATGATCCCCTTATTAGGTAATTTCTGCTCGCGTTTCTCGTGACATTTGCTCGAATTAGTCCCAAATTGCTTTATTATTAGATATTATTTTTTTCTTCTTTAAATGTTTTCCGTTTTTTTACCTCCATTTGGATAATTTTTGATGGTTTTAGTAGTGTTTTTTTGAGGCTATTTTAGATGGGATTTTTGCCATTTAACACACCCTTAAAACCACACGAACGCAAAATTCCTCTAGAAATCCCAAACCAAAATCCTGTCGAAAATAAAAAAAAATATATTCAAAAAACATCTAGCGATTGAAACCATAAACCACACAAAGGCAAATTCCTCTAGAAATCCCAAACCAAAATCCTGTCGAAAATAAAAAAAATCAAAAAACATCTAGCGATTGAAACCACTTGAACCACACAAATGCAAATTCCTCTAGAAATCCTAAACCAAAATCCTGTCGAAAATTAAAAAATCTTCAAAATAATCTAGCGATCGAAACCACACAAACGTAAATTCCTCTAGAAATCCTAAACCAAAATCCTGTCGAAAATAAAAAAAAAATCTTTAAAAAACATCGGGCGATCGAAACCATGAACCACACAAAGGCAAATTCCTCTAGAAATCCCAAACCAAAATCCTGTCGAAAATAAAAAAAAATCAAAAAACACCTAGCGATTGAAACCACTAATACCACACAAATGCAAATTCCTCTAGAAAATCCCAAACCAAAATCCTGTCGAAAATAAAAAAAATCTTCAAAAAACATCTAGCGATTGATGACCCCTTTCAAGAATCATCCAAAACCCACCTCAAACATCAAACATCGCGCCGCCATTTTATCCACCTTCCCTTAATTAATTACCATAGCGCGAACCCGTTCTCACCCTTTCGCGCTCGCCATTGGCCCCGCATCCAACCCTTTTCGATCGAAGCGAGAACGGGCGCGTGGAACGGACGGAGACAACGAACTGCAACCCCTTTCGATTCCAGCACAGGTCGTTTACCCTTTGGCACTTGTGCATTCCACCCCGTTCGGCGTCTAACCCTTTCCTTTCCCTTTCGTCGGGACGAGGAAAAGGGTTCGCCCGGCTACCTGACGCAATTGGCCGCTCGAACCCTTATCTGCGGGGCCCTTTCGCTTTCGTCCGGGAGACGGTGGGAAATTCTGTTTTTGGGGTATTTTGATATTTTCGATGTATAATATACAAAGACAGGTTTTCGACCGTGTCGCAATGTCGAGTTTTGTGGGAAAATGTTATGTATAAAAGCGAGAATTTATAATGCCTTTGAAGGGTTGAGGGTGTTTGTATTTGATAAAGGTAGTCGATAAGTGTATTGTTGAGTTTAATGTGTTTCCATTTGAAGATAATCTAATCATTATACAGAGTGTTACGAGGTTGTATGGTAGGTAGCGCTAAAAATAGTTTGTTATACCAGAAATTTGATTTGTTCTTCTTCTTCGTTGACTATATTCAGCCTTTCAAATTGCAGCAACTAATTTTTTTACTTGCTCCCATTTTCTATACAATACTCTATCAGTGACATCTACCTATAACAATATTATAAACATTAAAATCAGTAAATTCTGGTAGGTATCTAGTTCCCCCTTTTTTTCCTGATGATGAGCCATTGCTCTTTTCGACCGGCCATATTTCCTGTAGAATAAATTCCACATATACCCGTCTCCGTTCGACGCGCGTGAGTCACGATGATCGAAAGAGTATTTTCGGCATTAAGCAAAAACAAGTTTTTCGAGGAAGGGTCATTCCCCGCGGACCATACGGGGTTAGTTTTCCCCCAAAATGATTCGGCCAATGGTATTTGAGTTGCGGCCAAGGGTCAGGATTCGATCGATAGTTTCGAATGGACCCCATCACATAACGTATATAATTCTTTAATATTACTCCTCTCCTTTTGATAAAACATTAACTTTGTCCGCGGTGTTTTATCCAAAAAATCACGTTTGGAAACATCCAAATATTGGAAAGTATAGTGTATTTAAGTTTATGGGGAAACGACGTCACAAACTTAAAGTTTGAACACACTATATCCAATCTAGTAACATTAATATAGTTTGTTTAACATTTCCTCCCGTGATGTCAGCGTTAGATTAACGTTTATTTGAGAATTTAAGCAATTTTATTGGCGATAATAGAGCAAAATATTGATGGAATTCACTCTTTTAGATACTCTTTACCTGTTTCTCGGATCCTTTTGTTCGCCGGCATGCCAGTTTAAATGGGTTAAATTCGATTTTGAAAAGGGTTATTGGGGGTTTACCTGCGAATTTTTTCCCTCGGAAAAAGGTTCCGTATACAAAAAGGGTTACGGCCAAATTACGGAATAAACATGATCGAATGCCTTTGTGACGGTAACGGGTGTAAAAACGGGTAATAATTTTGCGGTGCTAATGGTAGTACCTGTACCGATATAATGGATTTTTTTTTCATCGCTAGATAGCTGTGTAATTGTTAATAGGAGGTTAATGGAAGGGTTTCATTTTAACTGTAGATTATGAAAAATTATGCTATAATTTGCAGTTTTTTTATGAAAGGGATTTTTACAGGGTGTTAATTAATTGAATGCCTATATACTTCAGGATGTGAATATTTGGTGATTTTAAGAAGAGAAGTTTATATCAATATATGTCCTAGACCTCTTAGTTTTCGAGCTACAGGGTGTTACAATTAAAAAAAATTTCTATGCAAAAGTGTTTCTATGCATGGTGGGCGCCTACCAAATTTCAAAAAAATATCGAAAGCAGTCGCAATAAACTTGTGAAAAAATTGTTTTGGTTTTTATTTTTTTATGCGAAAACGGTGCGTCCTACGAAAGTAAGTTTTTGGACCGAATTCGCTCTAAAAATTATGATAGAAAAGTTATTTTTTTTCTAAAACTGTAGCACCACTGTAGTTCGAAAACTAAGAGGTTTAGGACATATATTGATATAAACTTTTCTTCTTAAAATCATCCAAATACTCACATTCTGAAGTATCGGCACTGAATTAATTAACACCCTGCATTTTAATTAATAAAAGATAGTCTTCGCTTTAACTACACATTATTTAGAGAAAATCTTGCTCTTAAAATTCACCAGTTAAACCAAAAATGTAATCAATTATACAGGGTAATTCGTGTCAACAATGCACATGTGCATAATACTATATAATTATGAACATAAACCTGTATATTTTAAAGCAAATTCAATCGAATAAACAATTTTCTGTACAACACCTGTACTACACCCACAAATATTACATACTTCTCCATTCATCTACCGATTTCCAACTCATCATTATCCTCAAATCCTTCATTTTTTACGATCCTCATCGACACAACAATTCCTCTCTCGATTCGTTCGACACCTTTCCGCAATAAATTACGCATCTACGCGGCTCCTTCTGCGTGGTTATGGCTCCGCGTTTTATCCATCCCGGCCCGGATTTTCTTCTCCCATTCACCGGTACACGTACGACAGCGCGTATTTCGCGATCGGTCCTCGCGATACGATCCTCCGATTCGCCTGCGGCTCTAATCGCTACACCGGGATCCTCCGGTAATCTCTCTGTTAGCCTAATGCGTTTTTTAGTGTCGCCCCGTACGTGTGCCGAACGCCCATCGAAGGATATTCGCAGGATTCCTTTTTTTTTCTGTTCCGACTTTCTCGTGTTGCGATGTTAGCCTATGGTTTGGAGGATTACAAGAGTGTTAATGGCCGCTAAGGATGTATCTCAATTTATTTATTTGGGGAGATTTATTGGTTTTTTTTTGTACTAATCGGAATTTAGTGCAATTGACCCGAATTCAAACTGACCATCGATTGGAGAAATGCAGCGTAGAAATTACCCATTAAACTGTGGAATAAAATAAATAATGAAATAATAGAAGAATAAAAATCGAGGAGTCTGTGAATTCAATTTATAAAGAGTAATGCCCAATGAATCGACAAAAGTTTCCGTATATCCTCTAATTGGGTCGCATAGGGGCCATATCCTGCTCCCGATTCTTCATATTTTAATTCGAATCCATCGCATAAATTACACCGACAGTACAATGGAATATCGACAGTAATACAAAATGTATTCTAATTGAAATCGAGAGGCGACGCGTCGCGACGCGTTTATACGACAAAAAAAGAGGGCGGCGATTATTTCCGTTTTAATAGAGAAAACCATTTCGATTCTTTAACTGACCATTATGCGCATATGTTATTTTTCTGTGGGTCCATTCACATCGCACCCCATTCGAGCGCTTTTTGTGCGAGTATAGCGCAACGGCCATTTGTAATTTCGTATTCATAAAGAGCTTTTAATATATCGAATTTCGGTTGAACAAAAAAATAATGTGTACGAATATAAGCATAATGTTTAAGTGAGAAATTCGTTATTTTTGGGGATTGATTTGTCCTATAACAGTAGAGAATATTATCGAGTAGTTTGTTGGGAATGTTTTAATTTTTTTTTGATTTTAGATGGAATATTTAGGGTAAATAATGTTGTTAACAATTAGCCTAAATATTCCACCGAATTTATCCACTTGCTTACAAGAACTTTTATAGAGTTTACTATAATTCATCATCAAATTCCTTTATTATCTGTAATACAGTATGTACGAACTGATCCGCTGCAAGCATACAATGAGAATAATGAGATAGCTAATTTAACTTTTTCTATGTAAGGAATAAAGAGAGCATACGAAATAGTCACGCCCGCTATCCCCGCTATTCGCTAGTGGACGAAGCGAAGCGAATTGACGAATTCTAATATCGGCCGGCAACCGATAAACAAGTTTCTGTTCTTTACTATCTTATAGTATTGATTGAGATTCTAATTCTAATGCTTGCAGCGGAAGAATCCGTACAATCTGTATATTAAACAGAGCGAGTAAAAAATTTAGTATACAATTGAACCTTAAAAGAGTACATGATATTTCTAAGAAAACTTCTGAATCTGAATTATTTAGAGTTCATATTGCGTCATTTCTAACATGTGAAAATAACTACACAAAATCTTATTTCTTGATTATTAGGCTGAATATCCTTTAGTTATTGCTTTAACTATGCGACCTAACAGTCAGTACCTACCAACCTACTATAAGAAAATAATAATTTTATACACAAACGTTGAAATTTGACAATATATATTTTTTTGGATGATTTAATTCTGCTTTTTAATATTTTCTAGCATCCCTTGTTAATATTAAATGAAATTGTGCAGGTATTAAGCTTAATCTGTTGTGTGTATTTATTTTTTTAAGTTGGCCACAATGCATGGTGACGTGCATTGATATTTGTTTTGCACCAACTGTAGTAGCAAAATTTCTAATGTACTTATGAGTAGTTAAGCTAAGTATGTAGTAAATGTACTTCTTAAGGGACAATGATTTAAAGTATTTTGTTGTAGTATGATTGATTATATTTTGTATCTTAGTCTCGAAAACTTTTGTATTTCTTCCCGCAACAACCCCGTACATCTAAAATTTACATTGACTAGGTACCGATCTATTTAAATAAAAATTGTGCATTAGGTAACGAAATAAAATCCATCAATGTTTGTTTACTGGACATCTTCCCACGCTCGCACAGGTAGTATAGGTTAGTGCAAGGATGATGAGAAACAACATCGATACGAATCAACCGCAACCAACGCGAAAATACGGCCCGAAAAACGTCAACTCCACGTCCATTCGGGGTGTGCACATGCACATGCACCCCATCGATCCCCCGCCAACCCATTTCCTCGGTTTA